GCCGCCTGGCTTTGGGGGAGCCGTGCCCTGCTCTGCCCTGCCTGAGCTCGGAGCCGGCTTCTGGGACCCTCTGCTCACCTCGCATCCTCTTTCAGGGCTCAAGGAGGGCTTTTAAAAGGGCTGTTCTGAGTGGGAACATGGGTCTCTCCGTTGCTACTGTCGTAAGCTTGCTTTTCTTTGTGTGTGTATCCCATCGCTATTTTAAGGATTCCTGGGAGCATTGAGAAACTAGACTGAAAACAGCGTGGGCTAGTTAAGTGGGCCTCTTCTGCCGTTACTGTTGATAACAGCGTAAATGCAGCAGCCCCTTTTACCTGATAGCAAAGCTGTGCTACGCTAACGGCATTTACTGTCTGCCAAGTGCTGCGTGCCTTTCTTCAGGGGGTCTTGCTGCTCAAGGGATGAGACCCTGTCTTTTCCAACAGGGGAGCGTGATCCTCTTGATCCCTTTCTCTCAGAAGGGGAAAAGCAGTTCTACAGCAAGCAAGCAAGGAAATTCTGCTAGCGGTACTAGGTTTATGGTGCTCTTCTTTGCTTGATTGGGAAATGAATGAAATAGTGATGAAATGAAGCCTGGTCTGGTGGATGCAGCTGAAGTACAGGAGCAGCTTGCAAAACAGGAATTTGGCGACAGCACCTCATCTTCATGCTTTACTTTTATACTGGCTGGGTCTTGCCATTCTTGACTGTGTAGTCTGATCTTCATAGGCATAGCAGGAGCAGAAAGAGATTGCTTCAGTAATCTTTTGTGATGTAACGCTATGTTATGCAGTGTGACTTGCTGCAGATTATAATAAAAATATTCCAGTAATTGTCCCATAACTATGCTGATGTTTGTTCTATGAATTTGACCTTAAATAATTACCAGGAGGTGAAAATGCCTTATTGTGCTTTATTTGATCATTTATTTTAGCTAGAAATAAAACTCTAGAAGTTACTTGATACTCAAGCTGGTGTTCAGCTTCCTTTATTCATTAGCACTAATGCCTTTTAAACTTGCTTTACTAAGTATGAAATCAGGTATGATGTAGTTTTATCAGATACTTACTACTAAAAGCAGCGGGTGAGCGCTCATTCTGCTGATGTGAGGAATGTTGAATTGTTGGCAGAAAGTAGTCATGTAAAAAGACAGTTAAAATCAGTATGAATCTTATCTATCAAAGGGGTTTTTTTAATTATTCTTTAGGTTCAGGGAAAGTAAATGCCATCTACATAATATAAAAACATTTTAAAAGTAGACATAATTTCCCCCCCCTTTCGCGTTTCCTTACTATTCACAAGTCTTCATAGATATGTATCTAAATTATTCCCCCCCACCATTCTACTATGTAATATTGGAAAACTGCTGCATAGTTTTCAAGACTGAAATTCAAGAGGTTGTGACTAATTTTTATAAGATTTAGCTAAAACTTGGTTTATTAAAGTGAAGGTGTCTGGCTAAATTTCTTGGAAATGTTGGAAAGTTAGGGGTCATTCTCAATGTGTCTAATCACAACCTTAAGGATAGCAGCATAGAATGATACTTTAATATCCTGATCTGGAAGACATTAACCATGTTATTAAAAGCTAGAAACAGAGTCCTTAGTTCAGAGTTCCCTAGGCTTTTTGAAATGGTGTTCATCAACTGTGATTTCTCATTTCACTACTGTATGACTGATCATCTGAGTATTCTTAGCTGCTATCATCAAAAATATTTATAAATTGTGTATGAAAGATAATACTAGGAATGCAGAAGTTCTGCTGAAGTGACATGAATGCTATCTTCAGGTAACACCAACCAGTTAGGTATGGAGCTGGATCCTTTTTTATGCTAAAACTTTGTATAATGTTACAGAAAACACCCGTGATTTGAGTAAACAAAGAGCTGGTTGGTTTGTAAGTATTTTTCTCCAAAGCCAAACAGGACAGTGCTATGTAACTGAGAACTTAAAACCAAAATGTCTGGTCTTACTCAAATTAGACAGTGAAACGAAGTGCAAAAGTAAATGTTACACATGGTGAGTGAGCTTTATAGGAATGTGCAGATCTGTTCGCCCTTCCCTCTGTCAGTGCATGCTCTCCTTTGCATGGTCATGCTGCCGCCTTGTGGGTATTTGAGTGTATGCAGCAAATGTGAGCGTTGTGTAGTACTGTAGAAAGCAAGCTCTGTATTTCTGGTTAAGGTGCCTAACCATTAGCAATGTAGATGCTCAGATGCAATTTTACCATCTTCAGGGTTGGTAAACAAGGATTTGCATTTTGCTTTAAGAAGTGATTTTTCTGAGCAATATGTGAATTCATGGGTTCAGGTTTTTTTTTACTGTTGACTTTAGGCACTTGAAAAAAATTAAATTACTTTTGTGTGCAACTTTTTAAATGGAAAAATTAGCAAAACTTGGTTTAGAAATACTGTAATGTGTTTTAATGAAATATGGAAGAAGCATCTTAGGAAAACAATTATCTAGATTTAAACCTTTTCTTTCATTGTTGTCCCCCAAGCGTGGAAATATTAAGCATTAAGCTAATCAGCGAGACTACAGCAACCTAATTTACTTTTCTTTCTGCATCAAGGAACTGGTTAGTTCATATTTATGGGAGATTCTAGAAAAGAAGGAAGGAACTTCCCTGCTACGACTCCTGACATGCTGATCCCATGCTTCATTTGGGAAAGATGGAAGCGGGAATGTACCAAACCCCTTCTTTCTCCACACGGCTAGGTCCTTTTACTGCTGTTTCCCATAGGAGGTCAGGAGGAGAAATTAGCAAGTGGAGGGAAACAAGCACTTCATCCTGGATTTTGGTGTCTAACAGGAGTGTGAATGAAATGCATACAGTGTTCTTGCCTGCTCCCTCAGGACAGCCTTTTGGTTTCTGCCTACTTGCTAGGTATCTGCAGTTTTACTGTGAATTCTATAATATGTGTTGGTTCCTTTTGCACATTAATATTAAATATTCAATGCATTGAATGTGTGTATAGATAGGCTTTTAGATTAGGGATGAGTGTCACTTCTTGATAACTTATATGTTGATTCCTGTTAAGAAATCTTTAGCAATTTGAAATGCTTAGTGTCCAGGATTGCTTATGCAAGGAATTATCTTATAAGTATTATTTTTCTAAACAAAAATACTAGCATTGGAAATTTGGTATCATTGTCAAAGAATTTCTAAGTTTAGGCTTTTGATTTTTTTTTTTTTTTTAAATCTGGTTTTTGTTGAAAACCGTAAAGCTAGAACATCCCCTATTTTCCCCACTTTAAGATAAACTGCACAGAACATGATGCTGGAACCAGACAATTTCTTAATTCTTTTTTTTCCCTGAAGGATAGAGTAGATTTAGAAACTGGTTAAGGAAGTTGAAAGAACAATCATCTTTATCCATGTCCTCTACCTTCAGAGGCTAATAATTTATAGAGATTTGCAGTTAGTTCTTAAGGCATTTCAACCAAATAATTTAGATACATATGTAGTGTAATTTTTAACAAGGAAGGAAAAACTGCGCAGAAATCAAAATCTCATATAAAACACATTAAAGGGCAGACCATTTTTGTGCAACCCAGTGCCTTTATGTTAAGAGTTCATCTAAATACTTCTCTCCAAATAGTCACTTCAGATATTAATGTTTGCTTAGCATTTTGCAGTCCATTTTCCTCCTAAAGCAATTCCTGTATTTTCTTAATATTGTTCTTCTACTTTACTGCTAATATTTCTTCTACTGCAATTGCATGTTTACCTTGACGTTCCTTATCCAGCATTTCTGTTAGTAGTTTTCTCAGAGCAATTTATATTGCTTGTTCCCAATCTTTTTCTGCAAATTTTTTTTTCAGTATTTTTTCATACTTAGTTTCCTTATGAGCTACCACCTATATAAAATTCTGTCCATATGGACTTAAATTCTGGTAAGATGGCAACCCGTTATCTTTATTTTAGGTTAGAATATTATTAAAAAGAAACTAAGAAAACCAATAGCTCATCCTGTCCTTTTTTCATAGATGTTTTTGACAGATGAAAGAGTTTCAAGAGTAACAAAGTCATTCCCCTCCAGCAAAAAATACTTTAGCCTTCTCTGATCATTTATAGATCGCTGTCTAATCTGACACTCCTAAACATAAATATAATATTGAGCACTGATAACACTGTTCAGTCATGAACTTCAAAAGTATTTAAAGGCTCCAGTTAAGCCTTCCATGACCACTGTAAGGTGTTTTGTTACTTTAATCCATTGTAGCCTACATAAGCTAAGTACCATATCTGGTAATTGAACTTGAAAGGTTTTAATATTGAATGTTATTTGAAAATGAATTTTAGGAGTACTGATCTATGAACTGGTGTGACAGTTCGGACCTCTGATTTGTAGCATCTGTCCTGCAAGAGGTGCCACTGGAAAATTCATTTGAGTCATTAGAAGGCTTTTAATTGATGAAATACAGTCACCTATCTATTTGTGGCATTGACAGCTTTCATCTAGTTTATCTGAGAATAATTTTGTAAACAATGGCAGCGATTACTAATCTTAGTTTAGAAATAATTAATCTTTCCTTGAAGCGCTCCCTTTGGTTGTCTGGCCTGTGCTGATGTGCATGCTACCTATTTCACTAGGGCACTGGTCTTCCTTTCTCCTTCTGAGACAGCCAGCTCAGACGACAGTTTTAGGAAGAGCGGTTGGAGGCTGAAGGATGAAGAGATTTAATAATCAGCTGGGTTCACACATGTTAAAGTAATGCGCAGTCATTGAGCAGGTCACCCTCTCAAGGGAATGCTGACTCTAGTGCTATCAAAAAAACCCTACTGATAAATTTAAAACATATTGACTGTGTGGCATGCAATCAAAAGCTGGTGGCAATAACACAGCAGGGTTCTTAATCACTTTGCTGTTACAGTCGTGCTCCTGCTGTCATATTTCTAAAAGTTCATTTGTTAATTTGTTGAATAGAATGCTGAAGCAACTTGTAGAGTTTCCAACTTGTTCTGTGCTAAGAGTATATGTAGTGTAATATTAGACTTCCAGATAGTATGGGGGAGATTTTTGAAAGAAATTATGTGTGTTTGCAACGCTATGTGGAACATATTATCATGGGTCTCAACAGGCTTTTAAATCTGTTTGTTTTTTTAAAATTTTGTGTGCTTGTGGGAGTGTGACTCTTGTTAAGCTGAACACATGATGGGAAATATTGGGTAAGTCAGTGTTCATACCTCTTCAAGTTGAATATATTACTTGAGTATTCTAGGAATAGCAGTGTAGATTATAGCTGCCAGCACTGCAGCTGAATATTGGGATTTTACGCTTGCAAAATTTGACCGCTGACTTAGCTCATCCGTTTAGCCGGAGTGTTAAAACAGTGATGGCTGCTTAGTACAAGTTGTAGTGGTTTTTGTTTGATGTATTGCAGCTAGAAAGGTGATCTCTTTGGGAGGAGAAGGAATGACAGAATACTAAGTAAACAAACAAAAAAGGCATCTCTTTAATTCAGTGGCAGTATGGGTCATAGAAGTAGAATTTTGTCAAGACAAGACCATTTGTCCTGGTATGAACTGGACTTTTCTTCTTCCCTCCCTGGTGAAGTTATCTTCCACAACAAAGATGTCATCTTATTTCAGCCATTATCATATAACGCTTTTATCCTTTTCAATAAAAGATCTTGCAAATTACTTCTGGGAATATTTTTTTAAAATGGGAAGTAATATAAAAATTTATTTCTAGAATGAAGTTTGCTCCTGCTCCACAGAACCCTGCAGAAAAGGACCTGAGGGTCCTGGTTGACGTGAAGTTAAAACATGATTTAGCAGCGCGCCCTTGCGGCAACAAAAGCTAACAGCATACTGGGCTGCGTTAGAAGAAGCGTAGCTAGCGGGTCAAGCGAAGTTATTATTATTCCCCTCTTCCTGGCAGTCTTGAGGCCACAGCTGAGATAATGTGTTCATCTTTGGGGCCCACAGTCTAACAGAGATGATAAAAAACCGAGTCCAGCAAAGGGGAAACTAAGAGGGTCAGGAGGGTGGAACAGCTGGCATATGCGGCAGGTTAAGGGAGCTAGGCTGCTTTAGCATTCGAAAGAGAAGACTCGAGGGAAACCTAAATGCTGTCTTCCACTACCTGAAGGAGTGGGGGATTCATGTAGAAGACGGATCCAGATGCTTTTCAGACGAGCAGAGTGAAAGGGCAAGAGGCAACAATGTGAAGTTGGAGGAAGGGACATTCCAATTGGGTATAATTAAAAAACTTCATTACTGTTTTGATTAAGTAATTAAGTACTGGTTTTTAAAGCATCATCAATGCTCTGGATCAGGATTTTTTAAAGACTATGTAGATAACTAAAAAAGATGCCAGTTCTGAGTGCTGTAATGAAATATCATCGTGCTTCCTGTTCTGATCCATCTTTGTATAAGGTAGAAAGTAAATGACATATACTTAGCTTTTTTAAAGCTAGAAAGAAGAAAACTGAAGTAGGAAAGTGAAAAGATAATATGCAGTTCAAGAAAGATTAATGCTACTAGGGAGTCCCTGAAAATTAAAATCCCAAATGCATGCGTATGTCCATGATAACTAGAAGTTTATATTCTTTGCTAACTTTTAATATTTGGGCTGTGTAGAAGAACAGACTTGCTGGTTTTAATTACTTTAACTGTGTAATATAAATTATATATTTATGCATTTTGATATTTGCATATATTTGCTGCATTTTGATCTAAAATATTTCTTGTTAATACTGTGTGATAATATATTAAGTGGTTAACTCAAACCTTTCAGTTATACTTTAATATTTTGATGTTGTCAGGCGGAAGTTTTCTCAGATTCTTGTCCTTGTACTACTAAAATTATCCCTAACTGAAGATGCATCCAGACCTGTCTCCTCATCTGCACACTGAAGAATGTAACCTAGTTATCAGTCTGCTCAAGAAGTGTCACAAGGAGGTAAGGAATTTTGAGCAGAGAAAAGAGTGGGTGGGTTGGGGAAATGAATGTCAGATAAATTACTGAGAATATTATATGATCATAGAGAGAAAAACCTCCTCTAGGCAGAACAGCCATGAAATGTAGCTAGTACGTTTTCACTGAAGAGGTATCTGACAACTGTGTGTAAAATTTTGCCAGTGATTTCATTAGGAAATAAAACATGCCTTAAAATTTCCTGTGCTACAGCTTGACAAGTATGGACCTATTTTAAGAACTGAAATAATTTCTGCACCTTTTAGTACTGTGGGCCCCTCAAAAAAACAAAAGCAACTTCAGATGCCCTCTTTTTGTATGCTCACAGCATTTCCATATTCCAGCTGTCCACTGGGCAGATGCTTCAGTCTATTTATAAGCAGACGTGTTGATGGGGATCCGGACATGCAGCATGCCTTACATTCAGTGCTTGGAGAGCTAAATGCGAATTACTGTTTGACTGCCATCTTCTTAATAGGCACCTACCCAAGGATGTAAAATGCCAAATTGTCTTCAGACTTCTCAAGGCTCTTCATTGCTTCAAGAAGATAAAATCTTCATCTCGCTTGTTTAAAAGCCTTTTTTTTTTTTTCCCATTTGCTCTGTAGCAAACCTCTAGATGTAGAAGAGTCAGCCCCTGCAATGAAAGCTATCTGCAGCATTGTTGCAATATTGTTAATTATTTTCCCAGTTCTCTTGTATAGTCTAAATAACATATATTTCTGTATTAGGGCATAAAAAGTTCAATTTCATAGTTTCCACTGAGACAAAAATATATTTAAATACTGAATATGAACCTGAAAACAATGGTTTACACCATTACCCGCAATATACAATATTTTCACCTCCATGTTCAGATGTGCTGTTTATATTCTTTTTCGTAATGCAGTTATCCATAAATTCTAAGACAATACATATGTTAGCTTTACTGTTTTGAGCAGAATTCTAAATTTTTCTTTGGAAAAGTCATTACAGGAAGAAAACCAAGGCTGATAATACACGAAATGCAAGAGATGAATGTTTTGTATGAAAGAGGAATAACAACATTTTTGCACATTTTAAAGTAGCTAACCTAACATATAAGAAAACTTTTGCAGTACCACACTTCTTATGATTTCTAAATTACAACAATGAAGGGTTTTAATACTAAAATTCACCTGTAATGAGTATACTGTACTGGGTTTGTTCAGCAACATTTAATTGGTTTTTGTTGGCACTTGCAGTGCAATATCTTGAAATGTAAGCACACTGGAATCTGTTGATGCCATCTCATATGTGGTACTTTCCATACCATTGCCTGTCTGTCCCTATGCACTGTCTAAATTTTTTAAACCTAAGATACAAAGTTCTTGTACAGAACATCCCCAAGCTTTAAAACTAAAAGTTGTATTGAGTGTAAGACTTATGCTTTTCTTCTGAGTTCTAAAATTTTAATTTGCCTAAAAATGCTCTAGGTAATTTGAGAGATTGTAGAGTTGGTTTGTTTGTTGGGTTTTTTTAAATAAAAATGAACGTTAATATACAACCATCATAGGCTTTTTGTATGAAGTAGCTTATTAGACTACCTTGAGTTTAAGAGGGAACTGGAACTAAAAGGTGTACTTGAATTCCTTGGCAGCAAGTGATTGAAAGGAATCTATTACCAATTTGACTTGTGAAGGGACTAGGAGCAGCAATAATATAGTCATGCACAGGATTATATTCTCTTGGTTTTGTTTCAAGTTGATCTTTACATGAAGAGGAATTACTTTTGTCAGTCTTGTGCTCAACTATGAGAGCATATTTGTGCTAGTAGTCTCAGAACAGAAAGGGTGAAGATGGCTTCTTTCACACTCAGTTGAAAGGAAGCAATACCTTTTCATTTAAGATTCAAGGGGAATGTACTGAAATACTCTTTTAAAATTGGAGTCACTGAAATCTGAAAAGTCAGTGATCTTAATCAGTTATCAGTGACTACCTGCTGTTTTGTTATAATGCCAAAATGTCCTAAGAACCTTCATCTACAATTTAAATTAATATTCCTGAGGGATGAAAAGCATTATTTTTTTAATTGGGTGTCCTGTGTGTGCATTTTCACAAAAATCAGTTTGATTTACTTTATTCCTAATCTAGAACCTGCCCATTATTTCAAGTTTTGCATCTAGTGAGGAGAGGTTAATGGGATTCCTATTTGATGTCATTATTTTGATTTTTTTTTTTTTTTAACAACTCCACTCTGGTGCTGAGTGTGTGCTTTAAAGAGACTTATTTTTATAGGTGGCAGCTGAAAGAAATGCATATTGTCTTGCAATCGTATCACTGTAATAGGCGTAATAATTATTTTTGGGAAACTGATTCTTTTTTCCTCGTAATCTGAGCCAAAAGGTTGACAGCTTAGGAATCTGGCTAAATAAACAGATTCAACTCACTGTATGCACTAATAAGAGCGGAGTTAACTTGAAATGTGAGTGCTCACCTTGAAATTTAACATGCAGGTATGGGAATAGAATACAAAATTAAATCTGTATTAGCTAAAATGAAAATGTTGTAAAAGCAAGATCAGTTTGCAGTAAAGTGACCATTTATCACATGCAACTGCTTCAGAGTGTCATCTGATGCCCTTTATAAAGCAGAGAGGTATAAACAAGCTAATTATAGCGCTGCTATAGTTAAGCATTTGTCATAATCTTTATTAACCTACTCCTACTTTCAGTCATGTTCTATTGGCTGAAATCTTGTCCACTGTTTGAATTCTTAACAGTGTTCCTGTATTACTTGTATAGATCCATCTAGCTGCTTATCAGCTACAGAAATGCGCATAGGTTTCCCTCTGAAATACAGAAGTGACTTCATTCTCATCTGTTTTGTTCCTCATGGTCTTTTTTTTTTTTTTAATTCATTAGTTCTCTAAAAGATTGGGCAAATTGTCTCTATTGATTGTATAGCTGTAAATATCTACTAAAATCTCCACTCCTTCAGGTCTTCTGAATTGCTTGGATGCTCTGCTACGAGATTCTGCTATGAGATTCTGTGGCATGTTAGCAAGCATCACTCTGAAAAAGTAGTCCTTTTAGAAGGATGCATTCTGAGAGTGATTTGATGACCGATAATACAAAATCACTTCAGGAAATCCTGGCTCAGAGGACAGATTTTTATGGTGAATATCATCAGGTTAGCTGGGGAATGCCTTTGTGAGGACAATGCTTGCAGTTTTTCAGAAATTAACTAACACTTCAGTGTGCATAAGGCCCACAGTTGAGCTATGTCACAAAGATGGTAAATGCATCTTATTTATTAACCTCAAGATCTGGAGAAACTTAATCCCCCATTTTTTATACTGGTTCTAACATTTCAGTCATTTAAGCCTAGTGCCTGCATCTTTTGGACGAACAACACATTCTTCATGTGGTTGGGATGATGTAGCATCAAGTCCTTTGCCTCTCTAGGTCATGAAGAAATAATGAAAACTGAAGCACAGAGGACATTGTCTCTAGGATGCCTGTAGATCTCCCTACATCTTTCTATATCACAAACTAGTGTTCAGATTTTTTTTTTTACATTATTCAAGCTAGCGTGAGTGAAAGTTGTAAGACTGATTCCTAGATCAATAAAATATATGTTCTACATTTAGACTTCATAGCTTCAGCTATTCTAGTCTGGTTATACAACATGGTGAGTACCTTCAACTCGCAGCAAGGCGGAGGTGGTTCAGATGAGGTTCAGGAGTAGCTCTAACTTCTAGCTACTCAGTAAAAAAGTTACAAAGCATCATTTTGCACAAAAAGGAAAAGACGACCAGGATATGTTGCAAAATGCAAGTGACTTCTAAGAAATATAGAGCTTCAGAGGAAGAAACCTTTGAATTGTAATTTTTTTTTTCCTCTCCCTAACTTATCAGCACAACATTTTGAAATTTTTTGGCCATTGCAATGATATTGACCGTGAGATGCGGAAGTGCTTAAAGAAAGAGGTAAGAAAGAAATTTACTATGAGTTAAATGCTTAATAAAAAAAAAAAAGTCCATGAGATAGAAATAGAGTTGCTTTTTACTAAGTAGAACAAATAAAATAAATAGGCCTTGAAAAGTAAGCACATTCTGGAATGGGCACTTGAGACAAAATTTAAACTTTTTTTGATAAATTTGTCATGTAAAATCTGGCTTTAACAAATGGCATGGTCTATTTTTGGATATACAACAGTAGGCAAACACATATTTTAACCAGACAAATATTGCAAATAGGAACTGACACTTCACAGGTTTCTTCCGATTTTTTTTTTTTTTTAATTTTTTTTAGTAGTGGTATTTGCACAGAATAGAATATAAAGCAGTAATGGTCACTTCTGCATGAGTAACACTTACTACTGAAGTCAGTTATGCTGACTGAAACTACTTGACGAGTTGCTGAGTTAGGCCCTAAATGAAAATATTGCTGCTTAGGACTTACTCATTGCTGCACTACATCTGTGGATACGAAGGAATGGAAAACTCTAGGAGTCTAAGTAGATTAAATAGCTAATGGGCACATTTTCAGAAGAGTATCAACTGGTCTTTATATTTGTGGTTGTCATGCTTACATGACAGAACACATAAATGAACTTTTCACACACCTTTTAACTTGAAATTGTACTTAACTGATTTTTGACATAAATTTCACAATCATGTCTAAAAAAGGAGACCTCAAGTGTATGATAGCCAGAACAGTTTGGGCCCCCTCTTTTCCTTCTGTCAGTCTATGGGATTTAATTTCATCTGCTTGTGTCAAATACCGTTTTCCGGCCTGCCCCCCCCCGCCCGCAACTGTAGCATAGATCTGGAAAATAATGAAGTAAAGGTTCTTTCCATGTAATCTTCTTTTTCTTTGTTCCATTGAAGCCTTTACATTAAAAGGAGTTCTTGATGGCTATATTTGTCTGCCTTCTTAAAATACGGCTACATTGATATGCCATTACTAGGAAGCCCCTGAAAGGCTGTTCACAAGTATAGAACATGTATAGATGTAGCTTTTAAAGATCCATTGTTCTCATTTTATGTAAAAACATGGATGGGTTATTGAAGAATTAAATACTGGCATGGGAAAAAGTTAAGCATTCTGTAAATGTTAAGTAATGTTTTGGGCCATTATTTCAGTTATAAACCAATCAGTATAATGAGTGAAAAACTGCAAATCCTTTCCAAAATCAATCTCCTTAGTAGTTTATTACATTCTATAGTGAATTGAGTATTTGTGGGTTACTTGGGTTTATTCTTGATACCAATTATTAAAAAATTGAACAAATATATGCTCTAACCTAAGGCCAAGAATAATTTGCTTCTCATGAAATATATACCAAATCACGCATTGATTTTTAATTTTTCATTTCTTTTAGCCATGAAAAGGTTTCCTTTTTGGCTGCAATGAAAGAAAGTTAGGCTCTTCAGTCTTCGGGCTTTTGCTAGTGCGGGGCCATACTTGAAAGCATGGTCATCTTACGCATGTATCTAAACTGCGAAGCCTTTCTTGATTCCCTTTTACACTGGAGTCCTGTCTCTGTTGTGTTTCTTTTTTAAACCATAAAAAAACCCAAAACACCTTACCCTCATTCAACCCAAATTTGCCTTTGTTCCTTTCATCTTGATATACTACTTTATCTGTGCATATAATTAATGACCAGGATCGAAAATAGACCAAGTCTGTGATGACAAATTCGTGTTTCAGAAGGCAGACACGCCTACATTAATCAGTATCTTTTAAGAGGAAAAGAGCCTGACCTGTGCTCTAGAATAGCACCAATGCAACTTTTTTCCTAGTTCATGTGTGAAGTGTAGCTGTTGTACGTAAGATGGCTGTATAATTAAGTTCCTCCATAAGATTAACTGAATCTTCTTTATTAGAATGTTCTAATACTCTTTAGCTTAATAACCTCAAACTTAGAAACATATATTTTAATCAAATAAATGTTAATTTCAAAGTAAAAATGAACCAGTATATAGGTATTAACAAGAACTGCATTTCTAATGCATCAGTCAAAACATACTGTTTCTGTTCCTGAGTAATAAACGCTCTCTACGCTTTTAAATTTGACTTATCTGTTTAATGATAACAGCTGATCTATTAATTTCCTTATCTGTCTTCCAGTATGAAGAAAGCAGGGCCAGGAACCAGGCGATGCGACGGAGGCTACTTAATGCTCACAGAAACTCAGAGAAGTGAGCTGTGCCGTAGTTGGACAGCTGCATCTCAATAGGGACACTCAGTTGAAAGTTGACAGAATACTTCTTTCCCATCACCAATGCCTCAGCCTGTGGTTTGTGAAATGGTGAAAAAATAAATGCGCCTAAAACATACTCATTCCCAGCAAGGCAAACAATGTGGAAAAAACCATATAATAAATGATCACTCACAATTTAACTTAATTTTTGATCTCTAAAACAAAACTATTGTGGCAAGTCTTTGTTCTGGCATAGTTTTGTTATGATTGTTAAGTAATGAGGAATCAGTGTGTGTGGAGTATTACGTACTCAAGGCTGCTATATTCCCTACCTTGTGTTGAGTTGCATTTATTTCTTTGTGTTTCACGGTTTTTCTTTCATCTCTTTTTTTTTTTCTTCTTGCAAAACACTGAATGACTTTTCCATCATTCTTTGTAATGTTGTGATAACACTACTTAAATGAATTAGCAAAAAGAAATTTTAAACAGATGTGTCTTGAAATTGGAAATTGCCTATCAAGTAATAATTGGAGTTCTAGTATTTTTATTGGAGCTAAAATCATGAAACTACCATCTTCCACTGAGAAGATAAAAACCCTTCCTGCCAACCATACTTACAGTGTAGACTGTTGTAAGACAATTTGTTCATCATACCCAAAGCAAGCGGCTTTAGAAATTCAGAATGGAACATTTCTAGGGATTTACAAAGCATTGCCTTGATTTTTGTTGAGTACAATCAATGTGTGCCGAGTGATTTTTTGAAGAGGAGTGCTGCCAAAAATACAAGCTAAATAGTTCTTCCACATACTCCGGTACAAAGGTGAAGTCATGTTATGACTATTGCTGTTGAAGGGAAACTCACATTGAAGTGAAAGAAAGTGTAACTTGCCTTTCAGCTAGGCAAGTCAACTAGTATTGTGTTAACCAAGTTGCCTCGTTAGCCTATAAGAGCTGTTTATATGCTATCAAATGGCAGAAAGTCCTCAACAAGTCTCTGAATTCAGAAGATTTGATATTAAAATATACGTTGCTTTGTGCAGCGATGGAGTTGCTTCTCTGGGTGTCTGCTGGATTCACCTTATTTTTAAATGACTTTTCTGTTCTGCCTAGCAACAAAAGACTATTTTAAAAAAATAAATTTTATTGAGCCAAATATACTAAGTGTCTTGAAACCTTTTGAAGAAAAGGTGCCTATTCTACAATGAATTCTATGGTTTGTTTTAAGAACCACTGTTGACATTCAATCTTGAAATTAGTACACGCACCTGTTTTTGGAAGGAAGCTGTATTTTGTGATCTATTTTGAAAGATTAATTAGAATAATTTTACTTATTTTTCAATGCCTGGATGGACCCAGTTAAATTGGTAAAACTTAACCACAAACGTTTTCAGTCAAAGTTCCAAGAAAAACTGAAGCAATTGTTTCTGCATCTTTTGACATGCTGTCTGCTTTCTTAGAACAAGTAAATGATGCATTATTTGAATTAAATACTTGAGTGGTTGGAAGTGGTGCAGTCTTTTTATTGGTACTTCATACCAATGGGCTTGTGTTCAAAAATACTTTTGAAGAGTACTTTATAGTGAAGTTCCCTAACGGGGAACTCTGCATCCTTGATCCTTCTTCCATTTGTGATGACAAGATCTACTTCAGGCAAGCTCTTAAATAGGATTTGGTGATGCTTGTAATCTTTTAACTAAATAAATAAATAAATAGAGAATTGTCCTAGAGATTAGGTTGAGAAGCTGGTATCTGAGTGCAGAAGCACCGAAGCTTTTCTTTCTTTCATCAGCTTCTGTGGGTCCAGATCTTTCAGTAGAATAGCAACAAAATAAGAATCCAAGAGCCATTTAACTCAGCTCATTAGTCAGAATCATATTTTCAAAGATCAATGTGCTTAATGAATGAAAGACCAAATGGCATGCACAATTTCTATTGATACTTTGAACTACATTTAGCAATAAATCTATTTTACAGATAAACTTTGTTTACCTAGTGAAAGTATGGTCACGTTCATCCTTCTGTTTCTCTTTGCTAATTGCCCACTAATAGCGTGATATGAGATTGCCCATTGATTCTTGTGGTTTTGTTCCTTTTTTTGAGAGGGGTTATGTTGCTAATTTGATCCTGAAGCTGAGAAACACTGGTGTAATAATACGATTTATCTGACAGAGAAAGAGGGTAAGGGTGAAATGGTAAATGCGGTTTTGTTGTTTCCTAAAGTGAGCTGAGTGGTGAGTAGGGGACATGTTGGCTGAAATAAACCTTGTCTATAAGGACTGTGAAGACACTTGTAAAGTAATTTGTGTATAGAAGCATTTTCCTCGTTCTTTCTGAAAGAGCAAGTTTGAGAGAGAAGAAAAAAAGAAATTTGATGGAATTTTCTGTTGCATCATGTGTGAGAAGCTCTTAGGCACTTCATGTGGGAAAGTGAAGAAGGGGGAAGTATAAACAGAAAGGGCAAATGGCAGCTGTAATACGGACCTGGCCATAGCAGTGAGGTTTTTCCATATTCAAGTGCAACAGAAGTCTAGAATACATGGACAGGAGGAGTACAGAGCAAGTGATACCTACCCAGCAAAATCCCTCTAGCTCTACAGCTCTACCAGAAACACCTGGTAACTACCATTAGTGTACTTTTTCTTGCTGGGAAACGAAATGCTGACATCTTGTTCCCCCCCCCCAGTAGAAGGAAAGATATTCTGCTGCATAGCAGCAGCATAATGTTAAGTACAGCAGTGCTAGTTCTTGCTCTGGTGTTAAGCTCTGCCTGCAAAGATCACCGTACTGGTGCTCAGTTCTTCTAGGAATAGTTTGAAACATGAGTTGTCTGTCAGGGGGAATCAACGTGAGATATATTCCAGCCAGTGCTCAGTGGCTAGATTGCCATAAATTAATTTAGGACACCCTTAATCTGCAGCGAGTGCCCTGGCACAGCATAGCTTTGCCTCACAAGCACGATACCAGAGCATAAGCAGCACCTATTGCATACGTGTTTGTGGGCTCCACACTGACAGGGAGATAAGAACTCAGTACATCACCATCTAGTCTTTATCCAATTTAACCTTCATCTGTGCTTTCTTGCAGTTAATTTAATAATTAAGTTGATAAAGAGCTATAATACTGGCTTTGATGTACTATTTTTTTATACCATTTTACATCTCATCTCATGTATGGTCTGCATCTCTTTTGCCTAGTTTTTGGACTTTTTGGCATCAAGGGACCAAAACGTGCCGTATCTGCATGGTTCTTTATACAACAGGATTTGAATCTGGTATTACTGTTAAGCTGCAGTGCTGCGTGTTAATATATTATGAATATACTGTTTGTCTTTGCCTGTTTCACTCTAGTTGGTAACACCCTCAAGGAATTATGGCAGAGGCATTTGTTGCAGATAAGGACTATGTGTAGTTTCTAGACCTTGCAGTAAAACCTCGATTCAGTTGAGCTGACCATTTGTACAATTTGGGTGAGGACTGTAGTCATGTGAGTGTTCTAGCCACTTGCTTTTTCCCATCTGATTCCCAGCTGATACACCGGTTATTCAGACAGTTGGGGTAACTGCTGTCAAACACAGTGATGAGCTGATTGTGAATTTTATGGGCATGCATAACTTCGTGAAAATCAGGGTGTACTCAAAAAAAACCCCTGTAAGAAATATAGTCTTGGTACACACTCCACAGGAACGATTAATATGAGTAACTTACTAAAATACACAGTTGAAAAATTAGTTATTCCTACCATAATTGTGAATCATTGTAGTTAATATTTCCAATGTGTTACACACTTTGCTAAAGCTCTACACCACATAAAGTGTCTTCAACAGTCAGGCATTTCTTCATGTTGGCACTGCCCGTGCTTTAAAAGAATGCGTGACATCTCATATAAAATCTTTCTGATATAAATGAAAACACATTTCTGTGGAATACCTAAAACGATGTGAACAACAGGAAAACTATGATATCAGAATCTGACAGTTTAATTAAAAATGAATTATTAACATTTCTGCTTAAGCAAAGGGGATTCTCTACCTGGACAACATAATGGATTTTAGGGCTGTAGACTTAAGTGACACATTCAATTTTATTAACATTCCCTAAAATGGAGTATCACAGTAAATCTTAGTGGTCCCATTAAATTCTCTGTTTATTTTACAGAGCCTTTCACTTGTAATTTGCTAATTCTAATTCTACTTGGCATAACAGGAGGAACCTGATGAAGTTAATAGCCCGTGCTCTTTCGTAGAGGTGTTTGCATCACTCAAGGTAAATAGGTATTTGGTATAACTGAGGCTCAGTGGTAACCACACTGCTCATCAACAGAACCCGCTTCGTGGTAAATGAAGGTCTACTAATAAGAACTTTTAAGTGAATACTAAATTCGCATCAGGTTCCCCAAACCTATTTAAATTGCTGTGTACCAAAAAACGTATCGATGGGAACAAAATATATATTGAGCCTAAAAATGGTTCTTGTGAATTGTCATGCTTTAAAACGGTTCTTTTGAACTATTTGGTGACATTTTAAAGGCTGGGAACTTTGATACGGAGCTATCACTTTAACCAGTGAGACATTTATTATTTTTTATGTAGACCCCTAGATAAAACAAGCTACATTTCAAAAAGGTAACTGTGCAGAAAGATCTTTTGGGGCATTCATTACCTGGAAAAGATCTTACTGATGGCTTGACAAAACTCATCCCCAGTACAGACATCAGCCATCCAGAATCTGATGATTTGTTTTGGCTTGGGAAAAACATCAAATGCCTTAAAGAATACAGACGTGTGTAACTAAGTTACATTACAGGAACCCAGATACCACCATCTCGTCCCCAACATTCAGGTGCTGAAAGAACAGGTTACAAAATACGTGTTTTGTTAGCATGAAATCAGTGGTCTAATGGCAATACTGTATTTTTACAAAATCTTTGATTAAAAACTGTTCCTGACCTTTGCCGCCAGCAACCTAGGGCTGGACTATTTTGACTGGAAGTAAATATGTGAAACATCAAGCTAATTCCTCCTCCGGCACTGGGGTGAAATGGTTATTCTTCACGCTTGGATCACTTTGCTTTTTTTTTTTTTAAGTTACGCAGCTCTTCCCAAAGTGATGTTCTGCAGTGCGAACCCAACTGATGACTGCAGTTCCTTCCAGACAGTCCGCTGCATACGGCGACGCCACTGGGAAATCCTTCGTTTACAGCCTGCAAGGAAGAATACTGGCAATTTTTGGGTATTTTCCCCTCGCAG